CAACCCAAAAAAACTCCAGAGGAGGTTTGAGCAGCTGTTTAGAGTCTCATCGAGGAGATGCATGGATAACGAGCAGGCAGAGTGACACCATAATTCCCACCCTACCTGCAAACGCAATCACTGCTCCACCAGGTGAATGCCTACAAAGCATCGCCGACTTGACAGCCTCAAGAAACTTTTCTACCCTGGGCTTTTGCCTCCAAGAAAGCAGTCGGGTAAGAGAGAAACAGGTTTTGTACACTCCTTGCCTCCCCCACAGAGCCTTCCTTGTCTCCAAAGAGCCAGAGGTCAAAGGGTTGGATGAGTCCTTCCGACACCAACAGCTGAGACACACAGGAAATATTTTAATCCCAAGGAAAGCATTAATTACCCCTTGTTAAAAAAAAAGAAAAACAAACAAAATCCGCCCAAGTATCACAGCGAGACTTCACCGTGGAAAATCCTTGTAAACAAGCCTAAGCCCTTGGTATCCATCCCAAAGCCAGGGCGTTTGGGCAGAGTTTGGGCACTGGTGACACACACGGGGTACCTCAAAAGGGCCAAGCCTGCCCCTTAACACCACGCTTCCACCCTCACTGCAGGACAGCGAGCCCAGACACAGCCCCAAATCCCCTCCGAGCTCTTTCAGGGAGCGCTCCAGGATCACATCAGCTTCCCAACAGCCTCGCTCAGCCCTCGGTGCATCACCCTGATGGCCCACAGCCTTTGGGCACCGCGTCCCAACCAGTAACCACATTTCTCTCGCTGACTCCCGCTCCAAAAAATTTAATCTTGTATTTTTCTAATGTAATTCTGACTTGACCAGTGACTTGATTTGAGACTGAGGCAACACAATTTATGATGAGGTGACTGTCAACACAAGAGGTTCATCAATACAAGGCAAGTGGCTCAAGATCCAGTCTATTAGAGCAGCTCAAACACCAAAGCATACAACCAGTCTATTACGCCTTTTTTAATGCCACATCCAAAATACCTGTTAAAGGAAACACTGGTTCTCACCTTGTGCTATTTCAATCCGAGGCAAGATGCTTTCCCTGAGCAACCTGTGCGTGTGTGAGCCCAAAGCTCAGCACAGCTAAAACCAGCACCCAGACAGAACATTTCAGCACCCTGCATCTGACCTCAGGCTGGGTGAGGAAAGTTTCACATCATCTCGCCATGGGGGAAGGGAAACCCATGGGGTGGCTATCTTATAATTATAAAAGAGATTGTACAAGTTACAACGGCTAACAGAAACTGCAGGGATTTAAAAGAGAGAAACAAGGATTTAAACATTTGAAAAGGCAAACTTGCTTTAAAGGCAAAGCTGGAAGATAAAAGCTGCGTGAACACAGCACCACATGGTAAAACTGAAAGCGAAAGAGGCTCTTTTAAGCATTCCTGGAAAAAATAAACACAAACTTACAGTCCATCACATCCAACTCCTCCAGGATGCAGCAGCTCAGACCCCGAGCACCGCACGAGGCTTTGCTGAGAGCCCGGCTCCAAGCAGCACGGAGGACACAGTGGTTGGAGAGCAGGAGGATTTGATTTTGTCATGGCTCAGGAATTACATCAAAACCAGCACGAGCTATTTCTCAGGAAGAGATTCGCCACCAGCAGGACTGCACACAGATAGGGGATGGAGCTAGTGCCCAGATTTGTGCATCATCTGGGGCGAGGCACGGCTTGCCTCTCTCCTACCCCCATCCCACCCTTCATCCGTGGGAAGAAGGAAAGAAAATTTCTTTTAAAAAAAGAGCCCATTTCAGCAATACCTGGCGCAAGAGCCACAAAAACCAGCGCCAAAAACGCATTCGCAAGAGGAACGTTTCTCATCAAGCTGATCCTGCCCAAAGGCCAGACAGGCAAAAAGAGACAGAGCTCAATCAAGACGGGTAATGGATTCAGTATGTGCAAACACGCCGTGTGGCGTGATAGACCCAAGCACGGGAAGATTTCCCATTGCCACCCAAGAAGGTCCTTGTTTGAACACCCTTCGGGGGAACACGCCGTACCTTGAACCCCTCTCTTGGCAGAGGCGTTACACAAATATTTAATTACGTACAAAAATAAGGCTTTCGGGGGGTTATTGAGCAACGAGAGGCTATTTAAGCAAGCGTTCAGGCAGTTGTCCTGCCAGTATCTGTGGGTATTTTTGGAGGAAGTGGGGAGAACTCGGCGGTTAGCTACAGAGGAAAAAGCAGCAAAGCCAAATGCCAGCCTGCAGCTTTTTCTTTTTTCTTTTTTTTTTTTTTTTTTTGAAAGCAGAGCCATGCATTAAAGTCGCTGCACCTAATCACTGTTTATAGACGGGCTGGCAAGCAAAAGCAACGGCTATAAACAATCCTTTAAATCCCTTTTCCCCGCATCAGTGCACAGAATATGCCTGCAAAGGTCTGGTAAACACCGTCAGCGCCCTGCCGCGCACAGAGCATAGCTGGAAGGGAAATGATTTGTAGGGAGAGGAAGGAAGGGGAATGGGGCACTGGGATCCCACAAGGGGACTGGGAATGGCACCCTAGGGACCCTCCCGGAGCCCTGGGTGGGTGAAAAGGGGGCACCTCCGTGCAGGGCTGGGGGACAGCAGCAGCTCGCTGGTGTCACACTGCCCTCTTCTGAGCAGCAGGCACTGCTCAGCTCCATGCCCAGCTCTGTGCGGTGTCCCCGGGGAGCTACAGCCCTGGGTGACACCCTGGGACCTCAGTCCTGAGTGACAAAGGCACAAGGAGAAGCCAAGAGGCACCACTCACCCTGGAAGCGCACCATGGTTGGCATCACAGAGCCCAAACCAGCCCCAGCCTCCTTGCCCAGCACCAGCAGAGCTTGTTGTGATGCCACCAGCAGAACCAAAACCTCCCCCAGCCCCATTTGGTCTCCTTGAGGTTTAATTCCCACCTGGGGCAGCTTCTTTATGGCAGCAGCCAAGTGGTGGCCAGGTGGATCCCATCGCTTCATCTCCCTACCAGCTAAAAGGTGCAAAGCATCTCGTTACAGCACTTTTGGGCAGGAGCACGGCCCCTTTGGGGATATTTTCTCACGGAAAAGGGGTTTCAAAGCAGCATCACCCCTCAGGGAAAGCGTGCTGCTACACCCCGTGTTTGCAGGAGTCCTAAACACCCATCCACGTCCAACCCCAAAACTCTTCGCGTTGGCTAAACCCAAGCCACGACGCACAAGCCCGCAGCTGCACCGCAGCAATGCCGTGAGTATTTCAAAGTGCAACCATCTCCTTTTATCTTCGCCCTCAGAAAGACTTAAAAGCCAGCTAAAGGACAATATTCCCTGCAGGTGCGTCTTTTAAAAGGGCACCCAGGTCTGACTTCCACCACCTGCGAGCACCAAAACACCTCGAAGCAAACAAAAAGGGGGAAGGAGCCGTTCCCTGCCAAGACCTTGACCTCAACTTAAAATATAATTTTATTGTAATGCACATTTAAAACAACCACAAAAGCACCCAATACATACTGATTTTTGCATTGGGCAGAGTGAAACGCTACAATAATCTTCATGCAGTTATCTATGATAAAATTTACCCAGCACTTTCTGGATAAAGGTGCAAGAAACACCCCCCGGCCCTGCAGATGTCTCGGTATCTCACTACAACCTTCCTGGCTCATAACAGCGATTTGTTGCCTTGCTAAAAACTCAACCTTTTATCATTAATTCCCAGTCAGCAGCTTCTGAATCTACAGCCCGACACCGACTAAATTGATCGGAGCCGAACTCATTTTCTTTGCTCGTTGTCGAGGCACAAGACAAACATCAGTCATGCTTCGCCTTCAAGTGGAGAATTCATTGCAGGGAGGAGCGTAACGTGCAGAACATGCTTATTTAATAGAAAAAAAAAAAAAAAAAGTACAGCTTGACAGAGACACCCACTCCAAAATTAACTCTGCCTCGAAGCAGAGCTTATTTTTGCTGCCGAAGCCGTACCTGGTGCATCACGGAGCAGCTGGGTGTCTACCGAATATCGGCTTGGAGACGCTTCAGGTCTCGGCAAGGGGAATACAGGTTAAAATAGCAACTTTTAAGGATGCACCGTGTGGACAAAGGGTGTACAAGGCATTGACGGACTGCTTCCCGCAGCAATCTGACAGCCCACGAACGTGGAGGTGCCGGGTGAATCGCAAGGCAAGGAGCCTGCTGACTCCAGCTTTGCCCCAGCCACACCTGCCAAGAGCAAGCTGGCGATTTAGGAGAGGGAGAGCAGGTAGATGGCATTCGGTGCAGGATCCAAACCCAAAAAAAAAGCTCTTTAAGAAGCACCCCTGGTGCTACTTTTGCTCACTAACAAGCAATGCTTTGAATTTCCCGGAGGAGAAGGCAGAATCCACCCGGCGTGGTGGGGTTCCCCGTGCCCCGCGTAACTTCCTAACACAAAAAGCCCTGGGAGGGGGCTCACCGAGCGAGCACTCCTTTTCCTTCACACAGGGACAAAGAGCCAGCAAAGAGAACCGTAATTATTATTATTTTTTAATTTCACATGCAGCATTGTTATGCTCATGTACCAGTTATCCCTTCCCAGCCCCAAAATCAACCTTAAGACCACACAATTACAAGTAATAATAGTGGCTGTGCAAGCCCACCCCCAAAAAAAACAAATCCTTGTGAGTTAGAAGAAACCTTTAAAAAAAAAATGCTTTTTGTTGTTTTCTTTCTGGCTGAAGAATCCCCATTTCCATCTGGCCAGGGCGAAATTTAGCAGCTTCCACACCGGGAATTGCTACAACAGACCTTTTCCAGAGGCGAGCTCACATTTCCACTGCGACTCCTCAACGCCCAGTTTTCTAGGCAGCGAATGCTCAGGACTAACGAGAGAGAGCTTCCATAAAGCAGGGACGGGATTTTTTTTCCCTCTCTCCCTTTTCCAGGCGAGCTGTCATTAAACCCGTTGGGGATTTTGCTTTCTCAGGATTTTACGGCACCGGACAAGCCCGGAGTGAAGCCCCGGGGCTGTGGGACACGGCGGGTGGCGTTATTTTGTGAGCGGTGGATAAAAATGAAGAGTTACCTGTAAAACAAGTATGGCCTAAAGGAGACCGAGGGGGTGGCCGGATCCACACCCTGGAAGCTGGGGGGCTCCCGGGGAGCCGAGGGGGCACCCGGGCACCCATCCCAGGTGGGTGCCCACCCACGTCCCCCACCGCACGACAGCTCCCATCGACTCCCAACTTTGCTTGGGATGCTCCAAGCCAGGTGAGGTAAATATTTATTTACTTTTTTTTTTTTTTTTTTCCGGGGGGGGGGAGAGCTCAGAGGGTAAGGAAGCACATTTTGGGTGAAAAAAATGCCTTTTGCCAACCCCGCAGCACCTTTTGGGTGTCAAAAGCTGTGCATTGGCCAAACCCCAACACCCCTCCAGGCTCAGCATCACCCCCCCGGGCACACCCTGCACCCCCGGGGCCGGTCCCAAGGCTTGGGGGGGGGGATACAAAAAGCCCCCCAATCCCCCCCCAACACCTCCCCAGTCCAACCAGTCCAACCCTTTACCTGCTGCCACTGCGAAATCCTCCGTGTCGCCAAGGTGGGGTGGGATGGGGGGGGACACGGCCCCTGCCAGCGATGCCCCCCCGCTGTCCCCTTGCAGCGCGGGGGCTGGGGACAGCGCAGGGTTGGCAGGAGAGGGGTGGCACCGTCTTGTCCCTGTCCCCCCGTCCCTGTCCCCCGCAGCCCGGCGCGGCTCGGCTCGGCTCCGCCGCCCGCTCCCGGGAGCGGGGCGGGGGCTGGGGGCGGGCGAGCTCCGCCCCGGACAGCGGCAGGAGGAGGAAGAAGAAGAAGAGGAGGAGGAGGAGGAAGGCTGCGCCCGAAAGCTGCCAGCCCCTTCTTAGTAGGGGTGCCCCTATGGGGATGCGGCCGGCTGCAAGCATCAGGGTACCCACAGGGTACCCCCCAAGGTACCCCAAGGTGCCCCCAGGGTGCAGGTTTGGGGGTTCCCCTATGGCTCTGAGACCCCCGAGGGGTTGGGGAAGCTTTGGGATGCTTGATCCCAAAGGGGTCAACCCCAAAAAAAGCCTCATCACTTAGCACTGAGTCCCCCCCCCTTCTTCTCCTGGGCAAGCCAGCCTTCCTCCACCCCCATCTTCCTCTGAAGCAGGAGGTCTGGAAATCGTCCGCCCCGGGAGCGATGCGCACACACACGCACGCACGCAGGGTGCAGCGAAAATAAAATCTTTTCCTTGGAAACCTCAGCAAACGAGAGCAGAAATCCAGCCCTGCGCGCCCCGGGCCGCAGCTAACTGGGCACCAGTAAATCCCCGTTTGGCAGCAGGGAGTGGAGTGGCCAGTAAGGGAAAACACTTCTGAGGGAAAGGAAGAAAAAAATCTGTTTCTGGGATATTTATATCGAAGGCGATCGCGTCCCAGAGCCTGCTCAGGGGGACGCTTTGCGCAACGGGGGGTTCCCATCCCGGCCGATGGAAGCAGAAAGAGAGCAGAGGAAAGGGGTCAGGCACGGATTTAGGGGTTGCAGCCTGCTGATGTCTCCTCCTCCTCTAATTGTACCCTTTCCAACCCAACAATTATTTATTTTTTCCATCCTTTTCCATCTTGGTCTTTCCCTGCTCTCCCAAGCGTGCACCGCAGAGGGGTCCCCAGGACCTCACCTGCAAGCTCTGGGGGTCCCAGCACAGGAGGTGCACGTGGTAGCATTTTGGGGAAAAAATGAGTGTTTTGATGAGTGTTTTGCTCTGCCTACACCACTGCTCAGGATTTGTTTCCTGCACACTGTGACAGCAGGGATGAATCAGAGCAGCCGGGGCTTGCTCCGAGCTGCTGGGTGCTGAGACCTGCTGAACTTTGTCCCCGGCGTCAGGTTTTAATGCAAGGTGGAAAACACCTGAAAGCAGCAGGTCCCTTTTTTTTTTTTTTTCCTGCAAATTGGCTGTTTTTCACCCTTTTGGCCCACGCTCTGAGCCAGCCCCGGAGCTGTGTATGGTGCAAAAGGAGACGTGCTGCCAAAACAACACGCGAGGTGACAGACACCAGGCTCCTCTACCGGCATGGGCAAAGCCGACAGCTCGCAAGCAGCTTCTCCAAAAAAAAAAAAAAAAAAAAAAAAAAAACAAGCTCAGAAATAACCCAAAACGCTGCACCCTCCAGCAGGGAAACCTCATGTGGAGGAGAACACAGAAGGGAAAAAATCAGACCCTAAAACCTGATCCAGAAAGACGATGGCTGGCCACAGCAGGATAGGAGCGGGCTGGCGTTGCATCTGGGAGCGCCTTGCAAACGCCTTTCCTTTCCTCTCCTTCAGCTCTGCGGTTATCTTAAATCCTGGCGAAAATGCATCCCATGTGGGCACTTTATTCGCCTGCTTGCTGGCTGCTTTGAGGAGCTCGGGGATGTTTTTTTCATGTTTTTTTTTTCCCCGCGTGCAGGGCGACGGGGGACAGGCGCAGGTATTCGGAGGCACATAGCAGAGCCGTGACCGCAGCTCCTTGCGACTCTGCCAGGCTCTAAACAACCAGGATTACATTTTGCATGCTTGGGTGTCTGCCTAGGGATGGTCTCCTTGTAATTTCAGCAGAAATAGCTCGACCGTTTGTAAGATTCGGGGAAAACTATTTTCTTTTTTGGCGCTGCGGGGAAAATATTCGTATAACTCTTGAGGTTCCAGAAACTGCAGCTGCTCCCAGTGTCAGCCAGTAACTTGCTTTTCCCCGTCCCCGGGAACACTTGCTGAGTGAAATACCTCCGAAAAGAACTGCAGTTTGCACATTTTCAGGATTTTTTCTCCAACATTGCCAGTTGAACACGATGCAGACGCCGGGGAGCACGCTGGGCTGGGCAAGGCTCCCTTTTCCGAGCAGCTGTGAAGGGAGGAATGAAGAGCAGCAAGCCCGGCCTCCCCCCAGCAAGCACGTCCAATGTCCAAACCTTCATGGATTGACCAAGGGAAGGAAATTTTTTATTGATTTTCAACCTCTTCTAGGAAAAGAAATGCAGTTTTGGAGTGGGAAAATGTTTTCTGGTTGGAATGTTCCCGATCCCGTTTAGTGCTGGGAGTATTTTAAATATCTCCTTCAGCATGGCTGGGACTCTGCTGTGCTCATTCCTCACCGCGTAACCCCAGCGATGCTCATTTCAGGATGTTTTACCTATAAAACCTCATTAAAGCCCTCTTGCTCCCCCGGTGCTCACACTTTGCTGCATTAAGACCCAGCGAGGCCCCGATGCTCGGAGCCAGGGGCAAGTTTCAGTGGGCACGTTTCTCACCTCATCCCGTAAGAGTTTTGTTATGTGCTTATGGAAAAGGATCCTTTCTTGAGCCTGGCCCCTTCCTGGTAAGTCAGAGTACTTTGGGGTGTTGTCTTTTTGTGTTTTCTGCAGTGCTCAGAGGTGGGAAGGTGACCACAGGAAGGTTTGGGGAACAAGACCAGGTGTATGGTGAGCAGCACAAAGAAAACACAGAAATAGGAGAGCATCACCTTAAAATAAAGTGGCTGCCACTTACCTTTGGGGGACAAGACCCCCAAAACAGCCACGTGTACGTGCCATATGCAGTCCATACCCTGCTGCTGTTGGATTCTTCCAGTTGAATTTGGGGACAGAGCAAGGAACAGCTCACAAATTTGTGATGGCACTGATGCCCTGTTGGGATGGAGACCCCAAATGTCCCATTAGGATGGAGACCCCAAATGTCCTGTTGGAATGGAGACTCCAAATATCCCATTGGGATGGAGACCCCGATGTCCCATTGGGATGGAGACCCCAAATGTCCTGTTGGGATGGAGACTCCAAATATCCCATTGGGATGGAGACCCCGATGTCCCATTGGGATGGAGACCCCAAATGTCCTGTTGGAGTGGAGACTCCAAATATCCCATTGGGATGGAGACCCTGATGTCCCGTTGGATTTAAGACCCCAAACGTCCCATTGGGATGGACACCATTGAGCAAGGGCTGGTTGTTAGCGTTGCCATCTCCATTTTGCAGAAGAAAAAAACGAGGCATGAAAGAAGCAAGGCCAAGCTCATCCCAAAACCTCCTGCCAACGCCATGCTGCACACGTCTGTCTGTCTGTCCGTCTGTCTGTCTGCCCGTCCGTGCGTGGCAGCAGAGCTGGTGGGAGGCAGACCCCACCACGGCGTCCCCCAGCATCCGACCAGCCCCGGGCGAGGGGAAGGAAGCGTGGCGAGGGACACGCTATTGTTCTGCTCCTGCCAATGCTCGGGGAACGCAGGACAAACAGGAGGGAGAGCTGCGTTTTCCTGTGTTTGTACTGCAAATATTTTCATTAAGGCGCTTTTTCTTAATTCTTTCTCCCGGCCTTTTTGCCTCTAATAAGGGCAAGGAGAGTTCTGACTGCTGGCATCCCCTCGGGCCCCATTATTTCCCCATAATAACAGCCTCAGGGAGAACTCGTGGAGCTATTTTGCTGTTACAAACCCTGCATTTCCACCTCTCCTTCACCCTTTTCTCTCCTCACTCCACCCCCACGAGCCCGCCCCAGGCACCCAGCCCTGCAACGGGGGCAGAGATGGGTCTGGGAGCCCTGAATTGCTCAGGGGCTGAGAGCATGTGAATGTTTGATGTTACCCAGCAACTGGAGGCGAAGATATCGCGTGTCCGCTCAGCCAGGAAACACTTTGCCTGTTTGCACAATTGCTGTGTTTGCCTGCTCTGCGGCGGGTTAACCCCGAGCCCTTTCAGGAGGAGATAAGGTGAGGATGCTTAAATAAGAGGGAAGTCACTTGCATGGTTTATTCTTGCTTGTAAATCGGGTCCCAAACACCCTCTGTCTCCCCTAATTACTGCACGGAGAAGAACCCATGGCCATGCAGATGGCCCAAGAGCCATGCAATAAATGGGATAACGTTGGCCTGGCACCGTCTGGAGGAGAGGATTGCAGCCAGAACAAAATGTTTTGTGGCACGTCATCGGCACAAATTTAGCCCTGAGCACATCTTCGCATAGACCAGAGGCTGCAAGTCAGCAACAAAGCTTCAATGGGGATGATAAATGAGCATTTTTTTAGCTGTTAGGGAAAAACAACCATGAAAAGTGATGAACAGAGGCAGAAGTCACCCCCTTGGACATCTATATCTCACTTTAGATGCTCCTGCTCTGTATTTAAATACGGACTGGTTTTATAAATAAATGCAGAGTGTGGCATCGGGTGCACAATCAGGTCAGTACCCAAGGCAGTTCCTCTCCTTTCCTCTCTGAAAGGTGCAGTTGAGCCCCGAAGGAGGTGAGCGGAGTATTCCCGAGCAAAGGTTAACCAGCCCTTTATCACAGATATTTTATCGCAGCCCCATCTGGCCTCCCTGCCACCGTCCTCCAAATCGATGCCTAGGGAGCAAAGTGTGAACTCTCCCAGCAAGCGGCTCTAAGCGCACTATTGAGGAGGTTTTTAGCCTTTTTGGAGTCATTCACCAGCATCTTGCTCGCTGTCTGGTGGTTCCCTGAGTGAAGGCAGCTTCAGGGAGGAAAATCGGGGGCTAACAAAATAATTTCAAGCCTGCAACTCCCTTTTTTTGAGATGTGCATTTAGCTGTAGGTGGGAATAGCTATCCACCCACCGCCAGACTGCGTGGAGGTTCCTTGTGAGAACCTCAGGGCACGTCGGTGAAGCTGTCCCTGAACTAATTACTCAAAATGACCGTGTTTAACAGCATTCTCCAGATCCTAGATGTGGTCCAGTTAATAAAAAAATGTGGCTGAAACGGCGAGGAAAGAATTATTTTTTTCACCTTGTGAAGCACTTTTCCCCTGCCCATGTGGG